GGGCAACTTTAATAAAAATAATTAAAATAATTACAACTTTACAAAAAAAGAGAAGTTGCCGATCTTGCCCCTATACCCGGGGCAACTTCGTCAATTTCTCTCTTCTTGTAAAGTTGTAATTATTTTAATTATTTTTATTTCCAAACTGATTTTAACCAGTTCTATAGTAAGGTAACATTCCAATAGACAATACGCAAAGATTTTTTTTCAGTTTACAGCAGTATTTATTACACAAAATTTAAGTAAAGCTTAACATGCCGATCTTGCCCCGGTCTCCCCTAAATACGGTCTTTTATTTTTCTGACAGAAATAATTCTTTTATAGTATTCGCGAAACTGTCGGGCGGGCACCCGTTACGTTTTGCGTCGGTTTTTATTTTTGAAAGTATACTATCAAAGGTAGAGTATGGGTAGATGATGTCTGATGTTGCTAGGCAGTATGGCTTGAACAGGTCTACAGCAGGCCGCAGTTCAATCTTATCTAAGAAAAATACAGTATAATGAAGACTCGAGCAGCTAAAGAAGTAAAAAATCTCACATTTGAGAAATAAAGAATAGTTAAGGGATCATAATGGAACCTAAAACGAATCTGACGACAGAAGAACGCCAATAAACGCGGCGAGATATGTTTTCTACTGAAAAAGAGGATAAATGCCGATATATCTATTAAAGATTTCTTAAAGAAGTGACAGGATGTCAAAACAACGGTCTTAGAATGGCATCCAAACCAGGTTGAGGTTAATAAACTTGGGGATCTCTACAATTACAATGCTATTAATTACTTCTGAAAAATCCTGAAGAGAAGAAAAGCAATCGACATTAGACAGATTCACACACGGAAGAAACATAACTAATAAAATTGCAAGACTGTGTACAAACAATTCAGATAACGAACAAAGTCTTGGAATGGATTATGTTCGTGAACTGATCACCCACGGAACTGTATTTTTGTTTTCTCATCATTTCTTACATTGTTTACATTTGTTACTTCATGTACGGTTTCCATCATTTAATCTATATATATTTCGAATTTTTGTTCGAATTTATTCGAATTTAATTCGAACATAAAATTCGAATATTGGTTCGATTATAAAACGATTGTAAACGTTCCAGAAACATTGAAAATAGTTCGTTTGATTGGACGTAAACAGGAGACGTTCAGAAATAGAATCGGGACCAGATCTCTAATCAGAAACGGCGGACCTAATTCTTGCATTCTGTGAAAACGGGTAAGATTGGCTATAATGTAATTATCTTAATCTTCACTATCGTTACTTTTTAAAAACCCAGCGAAGCGGGTCCTTGCAGCTAGATTCTAGATTACTTAGACAAACAGTCTTATATATATATAACTATATTACATACAAATGTACGAACAAATAAAAACCCAGCGAAGCGGGTCCTTGCAGCTAGTTAATAATATTATCGCTGATTATTGAACATTCCATACATTTATTTTTCCGTATTTTATGTATACATATGTGTATAAAAAATGGAAAGCACGGGAGTCAACACGGTTCGCGGGGGTTATCACAACAGTGTACTCCCGTTTAGACATTGGTGATGGCCACTTTACATAAAATTCACGTTTGTTTTATCAAAAGAAAATTAAATAGAATCGCTATTTTGGAAAAAAGCGTAAGAATAAAATTGGTCAGGTAAATTCTTGATCAGTAAAGCCCTGGTCACACTATGCGATTTCCAGCCGCGCAGGCGACTGCAACCGCGACGGCTGTTCCCGTTAACTAGTAATCCCCCCTCGAAAACCGGCCCGACTGCAATCGCAACTAGAAACAAAAGGTTTGTTCTACTCGCGACGATTGCAAACGACATCCAATCAACAAACGCCTTTATGCCACGTCATACAGTGACAACATTGAAATTAGTTCATCATCATGGCGGATAGTCAGAGGATTAATACTTCTACAGAATCGAGATTGATCGAGCTTATTCAGGCTCACGAATACTTGTGGGATTTTAATTCTTCGTTTTATCGAAGACTTTATCTTTTCATGTATTTTCGCCAGCTCTATTAAAATAATCGCCTTTTTTCTTTTATTCATTCCAGAAAAGAAACTGCTTGCTATTTTAATAAGAAAAGTGGCTAAAATTCCGTAAATACTCTGAAGTAGAACGTAAAATATCGGCAAACTCACGAAAGTAGTCAAAAACAAGCTACTGTAATTTTATTGGTTTATTATAGAATCACGTGTTTCCGAGTTGCAACGTCAACGAACAATGTGTGACCACGAGAAGACGCGTGCGACTCGCGCTTGTTGCAGTTGCAGTCGCCTGCGCGGCTAGAAATCGCATAGTGTGACCAGGGCTTAAGAGCAACCTAGACCCCCCGAGAGCAGTAAACTCCGACTTAATTAAGCAATATAGAGAAAAAATGGCTTTGTCAAAGACTGAGAAACAGCATCATAACGTCAAGCTCGACTTGAAGCTCCTCTCAATTCTTCAATATTTATTTACTTATTAAAAATATTTCGCCATCCTTGAACGGAGAACTTTCAGTCTCTTATAAATATGTAAATGAAAGCACAGACTAAAGATACATAGAGACTGACAACTCCCTACGACATTTATGTAATCCATTTTAAAGTCAACGATATATTTAAACCAAGCAAAATGCACAACTGTGCCAAAATCAGTTACAAGGCGAATTCTTATGGCGTCGTGTCTACCTGAAGTCACCAATGTTTGCGTTAAAATTTATTCTTTTAGATTGATATTATTCTTAAATACAGATATTTCTAACTGGAATATAAAACATGAGTAAATAATGATTGGGCATATGAACAGATCTTTGATGAGTTTGGAATTCGACTGTTGTAAATTTTTACAACAACAGTCGAATTCCAAAGAACAGTAACTTTTTACAAACATCACAACACTAGAAATGAATCTGAATATTAAAAATAGTCATATGCTTCTCTAAAACCTCTGGACACGTAACTCTGATCATATATGTTACATTGATGAAATAATTGGAGTGCACAGTCGATCCCCCTATAAGACGGTATATATGTTCCGTTCTTTATGAATCAATTTTGTAGGAATCACAGCCCGACACGTGTGAAGTTTACGGACTACGGCTGTTTGAAAGGTTTTCTTCAATAAAATTAATAGATTCTAGACTAATCCGACTCAACATTTCCAAAATACGTATATTTTTTGGGAATAATTCGTATAAACTACGCTATAAACAAAAAATTGTAGGATTACTTACCGAGTGTGCACCATTCGACATCGCCGTTGCTCAAGCTTGTTTTCGTCGCGGAACAGCTCAGCAAACGGCGGCCGCGATTTCTGATGTTATTTTTCTGCGAAAACTTCGTTGAACTTTGGAGACATCATTAATATAAATAATTTTAATCGGCGTTGAATAACAAATGTTTCTTTCACAAGAAATGTATAAAATTACAGTACTGTATTAGACTTACGGTACCTAATTTACATACTGTACAGACGATAGTTCGCCTAAACTCTCCGTAGCGTGGCGCTAGACAGCGGTAAGCATATACAGTAGAGCGTCGATTTTCCGAAAGTCAATCATCCGAAAGAATTCCAGTCCGCAAATTTAAATTTTCGCCAGTGCTGTGGCGCTTCAATCTTTGGCTATGTCTTGGGCTACTCAAACATTTTACGTTTTTGATACTAAATTAACATCTGAAGTATAATTTTTTATTATTTTTATATTTTTCAATATATTTATTTTGTTTGTACAAAATTAAAAAATAATTTTTAACGATACAATAGTCTTTGTTAGGCTTAACATCGACGAAAATTCAACGCGAAGCGACACGCAACGGAGAAAAATTTCGACATCCGATACGTTAAACTATTTTTTTCTTACGTAAATCAGTTATCCGAAATATCCGTTATCCGGACAACCCCAGTCCCCAATTGATTCGGAAAATCGACCCTCTACTGTATATAATTATAATAAATTTACAATAAATTAAGTTAATATATAATTATATATACACTAACGAATTTATATATAATTAATATATAATTAAATTACGAAACTAAACTCAATTTACCCGCCTAAACTGTCCGTAGCGTGGCGCTGCACGGCGGGAAAGTAGTTCGGCTGCCCGATGACATTTTACGTAATTATAGGAGTTTTTTACTGTTGCGTACGGATACCGCCACACTTTTTTCGCCGTCTTATAGGAATCGTAATTATAGGAAACAGTCTTATAGGGGGATCTAATATATTTCTAAATAATTAAATTTTAAATGCAATTTCAGTTTAGATTCTGTTTTAAATTGATTTTACAACGGATTCTAAAGTACGAATGATTCTGATGAACTAGTTGATGGCTTAATAGAAACTTTTAATATAAAAACCTTTCTTACACACTTCACAACCATAACGAAGATTTTCATTGTGTATGTCTATTACACTTCTGTGAACAAAACGGTTTTATGTTACAATGAACTTTCTGCTGATTAAGTTGCGTTTACTTTGAAATTTTTTATTACACATATTTCACTTTTCAATGTGAATTTTCCAACGTTATAGTGTGTTTTTAATCTTAAATAACTTGTTACAAATTTTGCATACATACTTCCTTTTTTTACAAATTTCGCCTTTTTTTATGTTTAATAATACAATTTCTGATTAAAACAGTTGTATTGTTATAACATTTTTTTACATATGTCACAAACATATATCTTTGTATCGCTATGAATAATTTTATGCTGTCCAAAAACCTATTGTATTAAAATATTTCTTACACATATGACAAGAATATAAGTATTCATTGCTGTGTATAAAAATATGCCATTTTAAACTACAACTGCATTGAAAACTTTAATTACATACCTGACAAGTATGGTCAAATTGATTATTAAATATTTCATGATGCCAGTGTTTTAATTTAAACTATTTGTTATATTATATCACAAGAATGGTTGAATTTATTATCATGAAAGATTTTATGAGCTATCAAACATTTTTTTAAACCTTTTGTTACATACCTAAGAAGAATAGTTACGTTCATCAGTATAAGTTTCGTAATAACGTTTTAGTTGCACTTTCCATTTGAAACTCTTATTACAAATATCTCAGTTGAAAGGACGTTCTTAACTATGATCATTTTGATGCCTTTTTAGTTCCTGTTTTCGTTTAAAACCGTTATTACATATATTGCATTTGAAAGGACGTTTTTCACTATGAACCCTTTGATGGCTTTTTAGATACTCTTTGCATTTAAAACCCTTATTACATACATCGCATTTGAAAGAACATTCTTCACTATGAATATTTTTATGGTATTTTAGTTGCCCTTTCGATTTGAAATCCTTATTACAAATATCGCATTTGAAAAGACATTCTTTACTATGAGTTACTTGATGACTTTTTAGTTCCGCTTTCCGATTAAAACCCCTGTTACAAATATCGCATTTGAAAGTACGTTTTTCACTATGAATAATTTGATGGTTTTTTAGATACTCTTTGCATTTAAAACTCTTATTACATATATCGCATTTGAAAGGACATTCTTCACTATGAATATTTTGATGGCTTTTTAGTTGCCCTTTCCATTTGAAACCCTTATTACAAATATCGCATTTGAAAGAACGTTTTTCACTATGAACCCTTTGATGGCTTGTTAGTTCCTGTTTTCGTTTAAAACCGTTATTACATATATTGCATTTGAAAGGACGTTTTTCACTATGAACCCTTTGATGGCTTTTTAGATACTCTTTGCATTTAAAACCCTTATTACATACATCGCATTTGAAAGAACATTCTTCACTATGAATATTTTTATGGTATTTTAGTTGCCCTTTCGATTTGAAATCCTTATTACAAATATCGCATTTGAAAAGACATTCTTTACTATGAGTTACTTGATGACTTTTTAGTTCCGCTTTCCGATTAAAACCCCTGTTACAAATATCGCATTTGAAAGTACGTTTTTCACTATGAATAATTTGATGGTTTTTTAGATACTCTTTGCATTTAAAACTCTTATTACATATATCGCATTTGAAAGGACATTCTTCACTATGAATATTTTGATGGCTTTTTAGTTGCCCTTTCCATTTGAAACCCTTATTACAAATATCGCATTTGAAAGAACGTTTTTCACTATGAACCCTTTGATGGCTTGTTAGTTCCTGTTTTCGTTTAAAACCCTTATTACATATATTGCATTTGAAAGGACGTTTTTCACTATGAACCCTTTGATGGCTTTTTAGATACTCTTTGCATTTAAAACCCTTATTACATACATTACATTTAAAAGAACATTCACTATGAATATTTTGATGGTATTTTAGTTGCCCTTTCGATTTGAAATCCTTATTACAAATATCGCATTTGAAATGACGTTCTTCACTGTATGTTTTTTTATCGCTTTTTAGTTGCTTTTTCCTTTTAAATGTTTTATTACAAATATCGGATTTCATAGGTCGATCTCCACTATGCCGTGCTCCATGACATAAAAAATCCCGTTTCCACCTAAATTCTTTTCCACATATTTTGCAGGCATGAACTTTGTATATTCTCTTGTGTTTCTCTAAACGGCTGTTACCGTATCGAACGTGCTTACCACAAATGCCATTTTTCCTCTGAAGATTGAAATTTTTACCGTTTCTTCGCGATGTCTTCACTCGATTTCCAGATAGCTGCAAACTTAAATTCATGTGAGAGATTTCGTTTTTATTTCCAGTTTTGTGTTCTACCATGTGTCTTCGCAGAAGAAATTGCCACAAAAACTTCTTATTGCAGGTTGTGCAACAAAATGGTTTTTTTCTAATATGACAGAACAGATGTGTTTCCAATATTCTCTTATTTGTAAATGTCTGTTTACATAATTCACACGTAAATTCTTGTTTAGAATCTGATGAAAACGTAAACTTGAAGTATTTCCTTTTAATCTTATCATAAATTTTATTCCATTTTCTACTCGAAGAAAGGTAGCTTTTTGTTTTAATATTATATTTAAATCGTTTTTCTATTTTTGAATTCTGATGAATATCGTATTCCTTAATTTCCTCTTCCTCCTCAACTGTAAGTTTAAAAAATAACATAATAAATTACCTATTATATTTCAATAAACATAACATAGTTTCAATGTAAAAATAATAGAATTGAAGTTATATAATTGGTAAAGTAAACCTATGTTTTTCATTTGAAAGCACGGCATCAATTGTTATTTGCACTAAAAATAAAACATTTTACATTTTACAATCATAAACTGATTGAATCAGGTTTAGTTCTTTAGAAGACTTTTAAATAATTGTAAAAAATTAAACTGTTTCACTTTATCTGTTTTTGTTTATTACATTTATGTAGTTTTTTCCAGTGGTGATCATAGAAACGTAAAAGAAATCGTGCGCTTTTAAAAAGGAGAAGACATGATTAGTGTAAAAAAAGTACCACATCAAAAGTCTATGGATTTTAAGTAAAAAAGCAAGATTGGTGTATTCTTCAGATTTTTTTAATCATTTAAGCGTATGTCCAGTAGATCTATACAACGTTTATCAAGAATATTAGCAACGTGTTAGGAAACACGTTGCTAATATTTAGGGAAGAACCAGGGCAAGGTCGGCATGTTAAGCTTTACTTAAATTTTGTGTAATAAATACTGCTGTAAACTGAAAAAAAATCTTTGCGTATTGTCTATTGGAATGTTTTCTTACTATAGAACTGGTTAAAATCAGTTTGGAAATAAAAATAATTAAAATACAGTAGAGCGTCGTTTTTCCGAATCAATTGGGGACTGGGGTGGTTCGGATAACTTCTTTTTCGGATAACGAATCATGTACGAAAAAATATATTAATTTATCCCACGTTGAAATATCTCTCCGTTGCGTGTCGCTTCGCATTGAATTTTCGTCGATGTTAAGCCTAACGAAAACTAATGTATCGTTAAAAATTATCTTTTTATTTTGTACAAACAAAATAAATATATTGAAAAATATAAGAACAATAAAAAATTATACTTCAGATGTTAATTTAGTATCAAAAACGTAAAATATTTGAGTAGCCCAAGAAATAGCCGAAGATTGCAGCGCCACAGCACTAGCGAAAATTTAAATTTGCCGACTGGAATGCTTTCGGATAAT